AATGTCAACAGTAAGTTGATTAATGTGCTAAGTAACCAGTCATTTCTCGCAGTTATTCAGCTAAGTGATGGTACATTTCTTAGTATTGGAATCGATAAACAGCTTTACACGAGTACAAATTTGAACAGCACCTGGGTGAATATAGCAGGTAGCGGTTCCATGATTGCCGTTACTCAACTGACCGATGGAACAATTCTTGCTGTTGGTGTAGATCAGTTACTTCACAAACGCGCTAGTTTAACCAGCAATTGGGTGAATGTGACGAGCGATAGAAACATGATAGCAATTGCGATTATGCCCAAGTAGTATTTGTAACGATTATTATTTGTCTATATTGCTTCATATAATTATATATAATCATGCTTTTCTTTTTATTTTATCTTGCGCTAACTTTAATTTTATAATATTTTCAATACAATATGACAAATAAAAATAACCGAACAACAATAGTAAAGAAGAAATAGTTAAAAAGGAGAAGGTGAGTGTGGGGTGTAGCTGTTTTGTTTTTCATTCACATTCTCAATCAAAAATGAATGCTTTAACTAGTGATATTGGAAATTATGAAGCTGTTCAAAAAAGCCAATAACTTGATACAGAACAAATCTATTATGAAAATAGAAAAAAAGACTCACTACTCGGAATTATTATTTTCAAAAAGAGGATTCTCCATTCCTTTCTTAATCAATTTAACAAAGGTTGATATTTTTTGATCACCAAATTTATTTTTAGTTGAAGTAACAACAATAAATAGATTTATTCCTTCAACTTTAACATTCATTATATTTGTTCTTTTTGAGAAACCTTGCATTCTTTAGGATATTCACTTACAAAGCGAATATAAAAATAATTGTTGATCGAAATAAATATTTGATGCAAGGTGGATGCTTAATATCATTTCTTTTGGGATGAATGTGAATGTAGATGAATGTAAAACCCACATTCACACTCTCAAGAAGTCATTTCACGTACTATGAGCGTTTGATTTCAATGAAAGAAAGAATATGTACAGGAATATAGAGAAACCATCTTGAGGGTGTGTGTGGGTTTGAGGTTGGCGGTGACAGAGAAAACACTTACACCCACACCCTTTTTTTTCTTGACCTTTTTTCGCTTTATTTCATCTCGGCCAAGATATACACTAGGAAAAAAAGAAAGAAAGTTCATTAAGTGTCGTCCGCCGTCCACATTAGCCAGAAGGAAATATATATATATTGTGTACTCGTTCTTAACGATCATATAAACATCAACATGGCAGAGAAAATTGATAAAAACGTAAGTGTAGCCATTTGTTCTAAAAACTCAACAAACTTTCCAATTTATGAATGTTTTTCTCTACTATTCTTTCTCACTGCGTAGTATAGATATGGTATTCTTCTGTTATAGAACAGACAAAAATTTTATCTAGTTTATTTTGTATTCATCTTTTATTTGAATATATTTGTTCATTGTTGAGATAGAAAACAACTCGTTGTCAAAAAATTTTATCAGTAATATACGGTTTACTTATTCATAGTGATACTTAAATTCTCAATATCATAAATAAGATGTAATATAAATATCTTACTGTTATGCTAAACAAAATATTTAAGTGCAATGGGTCCCCTATTGTATCCTTATATATATATATATATATATACGTCAGATAGGTATGCCTTTGTAATATCAATCGATAAACTTTGTCACAAAAACGTATGTCAGAGAATACTGAAGAGTTAAGAGATTTGATTCAATCGTTGACATACGCATTTTTTTGTCAAATATCGTTTGTTTTATTAACTCATTTTTATATTTGCTAAGTCTATAAATTAAATTATACCGACTATTGAGTGAGATTATAGCTTATATATTGAAACATTTTATAATTTAATGAATATTAATCAACTAGGTATATTTATATACATTCATTTTTATGTAGTCGTAGAAAAGTTTAACTGAAAATAATCATTGTCTGTATAGATGTGCTAATATCAGATAGCATAGGAGATGATTATTTTTCGCTTGATTGCCTTTCTTTATGAGAGTTTTTGTTTTATATAGATTCTTATTCTATGTATCATTTCATTAAAAAGCTTGGAATTAATCAATAAATTTCTAATAATATTAGAGCGAAAAATAGTCAAAATTTCACAATATATTCCAAAGTTTTTTCTTCTATCATTATCGTTAAAATTTCAAGAAAGATTTATCGAATATAGTATTGTTTTTGAACTGCATAGTTATAAGATCAATAGTTTTTTGTTTGAATGCAAAGTTGTCTCGAGAATCTGTTCGATAATTATAGCTTATATTGTACATAAAATTGATTTAAAATAAATAAAGAGTTTCTGAGAGATCTAGTAGGAAAACACTAACAACCGAACGCTTTCTTTCAGATTTAGAAGGCGATAACTGGAAATATAGAAACGTTGGAATATAGAAAGATTAATAAAATATAATGATTTGATACTTCAAATGTTCTCATAGTTTAACGCAATTTTAACATTTTCATTTCTAAATAATTTGTAAATTTTCTTTTTTAGGATGATGAATCATACAACAACAACTTGAAGGATTTTGCACAAAAAATACGTGATTTAGCTAATGGAAATGCACCCGTATCACCAACTACAATTAAAGAACTCTTAAAAGAGTTTAAAATTGAACCAGTTGAAGAATAATTTCTTGTTCAATTTTTTTGTTGTTGTTCTTCTTTGGTTTTTTTATAAAATAAAACAAGAAGAGATATACTATTTGGGCATATGAATGTCCTAAGGCACTTATTATTTTTCTAAAGTTTGAAAAAATACATCACAGTTATCGACAATATCTACTCTATGGCAAATAATTTCAGTATTATTGATTACAAGTATAATGAAGTTTATTCTTTTGTTTATATAGTACAGCATTTATTATCTATTACAGTGATCAAGAAGTGATTTATTTCTAAAGAAGTACCTGCTGATCAATTAATAATAAATACATAATGAATTATCAATTATACTTTGAGTTATTTATATTTTAGTTCAAATAAATAAAAAGATGAACGAAATCTATTATGAATATGTATATCTTGATTTCTTCAGTATTTATATTATAATCTTAAGTTGGTGGTATTCATTTAAAATTATGATATTAGAACATAGTAGACTTCGTATTGATCACGAATTTATATATAATTACCTAACGTCTTTCTCTATCATACAACTGTTCATTATTTTATACATTTATGTTATAAAAACTGTTATTTCATGTAGAAAAATTATAAATATAACGTACTTGATATATGTTTATGCGATAATGTTGCAACCGATGATACATTGTTGATAGACGATGCTGATGGTTGATCGTTATCGTCATCGTTATTAACTTCAATTAAATGAACGACCTGTGAATCTTTCGATTCTTCCAAACAATCACTCTTCACACGAAATTGTGATCCCATTCGTAATAATATTTCATCTTCATTTTCATATTCTGTATATCCAGAAACTTTTTTGCCATTAACAGCTTCAATAAGAAAAATCGTTTTTTTCCATTTCCAAGAAAACTTTTGATAACATTGACCGACGATGAACATGAATTAACACTCCACCAAGCTACAATTTGATTTTTGGTGAAGCTCTTGCCAATTTCAAGAGGTATTCCTCTCCATACTACTTCTTTAACAGGAGGTAGCTTGTTTAATGCTGCATCAAATAATTTCAGGTATGGAAACCATATTTTTAATGCTTGTCGATCTTCGGATCGTAGTGCTTTATTTAATATGCGATACAGTGTATTATCGCCCCATTCCATTGTATATATGTAGATAGCTGCTGATTCATCATTTGATAGTCCATGTTCAGACGGAAAATGGCAGTACTTTTTAGCTGTCCTTATGTAATATGGTAGTTCATCGATTTCAGACGTTATAGGTTCCAATGCTTTTTCAAGAGGAACAAGTTTTTCGCTACGAAAACCATAAACAGGTGGAAGTCTTTTAAATGAAACATTAATATCGCTAAAACGATTTATTACGTATATTTTTTTTCCGTTGTTTGAACGGTGATAGTTTTATATTTATTATCAAGTTGAAGTGAGTGATAGAATATGTTTCTAATTTGTTTTTCTAAAGAAAATTATAAAAGAAAAATAAATTCTTTTTTTAATACTGATAATTGTCAGCAAGAACATCGATATAATCTACTTTCTAAAATATTTTCTTTCAAAGTTGCGTACATATAAGATTACTTAAAAGTCGTTTTTTTATTAATAGTGGGAACAAATTCAAACTTTATATTATTGATTTTTTTCTTACTGTGAACAAATCAACTTTTTGTTGAGATTGATAGTGATACACTACAAAGGGTCTGCCAAGGCATTTATCAAAAATCAGCTCGTTGTGCAGGCAGTAGTAAAAATATTCAATTTTTTCTTCGGTAAAGTAACTTTTAGCTCACCTTGTATATATAAAAACAATTTGTTTCCTATTAATTCGGCTTATTATAAAACAAAATGAGAAGTCAAGGTTCTTTCTATATCTATTATTCTGCATAAAAACCTTAATTTCGATAAGTCCGAAAACAAATGTTATCGTCGTAATTGCAAGTCTAGATTTTATCATAAATCATGTTGTTCATATTTTTTCATCTAGTCATAGAAATTCAATCCAAAAGAAATAGTCAACCACACACATGTTCATATGCTATATTGATCCAATAGATATGAGACGCATGACTGATCAGAACATTCTCTGATCGAACTCTTTTTTTGATTATGTATTTTCGACTGTAATCAAGTAAAATATTGCGACGACTTATGTATAAAAATTTAGAAATTCTTGTCTGTCATAGCCGAGTTATATTATTTGCAGGATCCAAATGTAATGAAATGATAACTTCTAAAGTTGTTAACTTGCGCAGCAATCAAATTAACAGTATTTCATAATCTAACGGTTTACTTGTGTTCATAAATGACTAAGTATCAATAAAAGTCTACATAAAGTGCTTAAACTCAAACTGGGTTCAGTCTTGTGAGGCATGGTATCGAAATTCGACATCTGCACTTCCGAAGCCATTTGATGTTTCGAACTCTCACTCATGAGAAGATCAAGGAAATACACGCCGCTACTTAATATTAAATGAATGCGCCTTGTTATCGACATACATTAAGAAAATGGAATATAAATACAGCATTTTTTAATAATTCTATTTGCTTTTTGACTCTTCGTAATAATTCGTTCATCACGATGAAATAGTTCAAACTAAAACTTACTTAATAATTTCAATTTTTTTCTGAATCTTGATTGTTTGTTTATCGTTTTTCAGCATGACAATACGTTCTGTTCCATTTCAGTCTGCCGTGCCTCTATTCTTTTGTAGCTTTTTTAATAGTTCTTTTATAATATGCACTCTCTCAGAAGGACTATACATAGCAACGCTATTGCTAAACAGATAGTTTTACAAGAGAAGATCATTTTTTACTTCCGTAATATGTTCAGTATACACTTTTACACGTCTCTACATCAAAACATTTATTCATTCATAGACAAATGATACATGAAATCAGTGTTGTTCTTATTGTATCCATATAGTTATCATATATTTTTTTCAAGGCTTTTTTTTATTATTGATGTGTTATAGTATTGACGTAATTAGATGATATTACAATGTTGTACTACAACATGCGAGTCAATATTTTTCATCAAAAACATATACCTTTTTAGAGTTGTAGTCAAAACATAAATGTGCAATTAAATTTAGATGTTTTCCACACTTTATTAAACAAATCAAAGGAAAGACATTATAGTAATAAGCATGAATTTGATATTTTTATTGTATTGCATGAGTGAGAAAATGATATGCAATAGTAGTTGATATTTGATTTATTGCATATGAATAGTAACAAAGTGTTACTTAT